TTGGCTGGACCTTGACAGTTTTTTTTTTTTTTTTTTTTTTTTTTTTGTTTTGTTTTGGTTTGGTTTTTCGAGACAGGGTTTCTCTGTGTAGCTTTGCGCCTTTCCTGGAACTCACTTGGTAGCCCAGGCTGGCCTCGAACTCACAGAGATCCGCCTGGCTCTGCCTTCCGAGTGCTGGGATTAAAGGCGCGCGCCACCACCGCCCAGCTTGACAAGGAAGGGAGGAAACACTCAGAGGAAGCTTGGAGCAGGCCAAGAGATACAGTGAGAGCTGTCTTGCAAAGGCTTCTGATAGTCACATGTCGGAGGCCAGCAGAGCCAGGAAAAGCCTCAGTAGTGTAGGCCTGAGCTAAGATGAAAGAAGCCTGCCTGGACCTGGAGAGCCATCCTTGCACCTTTCTGTCTAGCCAGGATGGCAAGGCTGTGCCCAGGGCATTGGTGGGCTGAAAGCAGAGGTGGAGTTGGTTTCAGATCTGCTGAGCAGGAGCTCTGACTTACCTATGGAGGGGTCCTGAAGGCAGTGAGAGTCCTGCTGGTTTCATGTTCTTTCCCTTCTAAAGGAAAGCTGGTCATAATCCCAGGATGTCCCCCGTGACAGCTGCTGGGTCATCTGTGTCATTGGAGCTGCAGCTTTTGTGTGCTCCACCAGATGCTGGGCCTCAGGCAGGTGCTGACTGAAGTGTGCACTCCCCTGGGACAAAGTCACTCCAGGCCCTGACTGAAAAAGAGTGCTGACAGAAGCCAGCACCGCCTCTCCTGTCACTGTGTCCTTCCTGGTGTCTGTTTCCTCTGCGTCCCTACCCAGCTCTGCCCTTACCCTCCTGCCCATATGCTGGGTTTGCGCTGGTTTCATGTCCCATTGTATCCCTCCCCCAGGGACGTGATGTGACTCCAGAGAGTGAGAACCTTACCCTGTCGTCTTCAGGGGCTATTGACCAGTCGTCTTGCACAGGGACTCCGCTCTCTTCTACCATCTCCTCCCCAGAAGGTACCTGAGGGGTCAGGAGAGGCTGCATGTGCCTCCCTCACTGGTCCGCAGCTGTGCTGTGACTGTCTTGGGGATGGGACAGCAAAGCTGGTCACTAACTAGGTCCCACACTGGGGAGGGAGGGCTCTCACTCACCTTCCTGCATGGTGAGGCTCCTCTACTCTGTCACAGCTGGAGCAGAATCTTGGAAGACCTTCAGTCTAATCCTTTTTTGGAGAGGGCAATATGCAGCCTTTGTGGCCTAGTGCAGGAAGTGAGCACTGCTCCTTAGTAATCCCGGTCCCGCCCCTCTCCCCTGACTTCTGTCTCCACAGACCCTGCTAGCAGCAGCCTGGCTCAGTCAGTCATGTCCATGGCATCCTCCCAGATCAGCACTGACACAGTGTCCTCCATGTCTGGCTCCTACATTGCCCCTGGCACAGAAGAAGAGGGAGAGGCCCTGCCCTCACCATTAGCTGCCAGCAGGGCTCCCTCAGAGGGAGAGGTAAGGGAAGGAAGTGCCCCGATCTGCCTTGCTCTCTGCTTCACACATGGGTTCCAGGCAGCTTCATAAATGTCCTGGTGCTGGCCGGCGTGCTGGCAGGGAGCATGGCACTCCCTTAGATCTGGCTTCTATAAGCCATAGACTGTGCTGAGGAAAGCTTGGCCTTGGGTTTGCTGTCATAAGAGCTTAACTGGAGAGCCTGCGATGACCGTACCCTTGGGGTTTGTTGCTCTTTTACAGGGGACACCAGCAGAGTCCCCAGACAGCAATTTTGCTGGCCTTGCAGCTGGAGAACAGGATGCAGAGGTAACCTAGATGGCAGACAGCAGCAGCCTTTCCCACAGCCAGTTTCTTTAACTGTTGGTGTTGGCTGGGAACGGCTGAAGCAGAGGAATGCTGGAGAAGCTTTCCTGGGTGGCATGTCTAGATCATTTAGAAGGGGAGTGTGGGTAGTAAGAGTAGCCTCGAACTCTGACCTGGTGCACTGTCCTGTTACCAGGAGACACTGGTTCTAGCATGATCCACAGGGAGTGAGTTCAAGCAGAAGCTTCCCATACCAGACCCTGACAGACCTCAGGAATGTGCCTGCTGTCATGCAGTTAGTCTGTTTACTGGGGTCACGGGGTCTCAGGTGCTCCCCACAGGACACACAGATGCTTGTCCCGAGTGAGACTTCTTGGATCTAATGGGCTCCACACCGCATTCAGGAGCCCTGTGCAGAAGCAGACAGAATTACAGCTGTGAGTGACGACACCCTGAGTGTGCTGTGCACCCATCCCCGTGCGGTCCAGGGCTCACTTTTGTTGAGAGAGGTCCTTTCAGGACATTTGGGTAGTACTTGGCCCCTAAAGAGTTTCTGAAAGCTTTATGATCTCATGGTTTGCTTTTATATTTTGTCTCGTTTGCTGGTTTGAGACAGGGCTTAACTATGTATACCCACTAAGAATTTAGGCTGGCCTAGACTTTGCTATGATAGACTAAGCTGGCCTTACAGGTCACGCTTACAGGTGACCTTCCTGCCTCTGCCCTCCAAGTTGTGGGCTTACAGGCATTGCCCATACCTGACTTTGATGTGCTTTTTCATTTAACTCTTACTTCTACTTTGGTGTCAGGTAAGCTGTAGTGAGGACATTCCTAACCACCCATTCTAAGCATATACCTGCAGCTGACCAGGCGTCCCCTGGCCATGGTGGGAAGTATGTGCATGGATGCAGACCATGGAAATAACTACTACAGGCATGATTTGTCTTGTCTTGACTTGGCTCCTCTGCCTTTTGGGAGACTCACAGGGCTTTCCTTCTGTCCTAGGGAAATGATATCATAGAGGAAGAGGATAGACCACCCGTGCAGGAAGACGGTAAAAGACTCGGTCCTTGCTTTCTCATGTTGTCTCCTTGGGTATTGCTGAGGGGTAAAGAAAGGGGAACGACTGTGACTCAGTGGCAGTGCTTAGCTATGTGGCTGTGGGCTGGTTTTCTCGATGGCATGTCAGGCAAACAGGCTATCAGTGACCTTCGTGACATTCCCAGCTTCTCCTGGGACTCAGAATCCATGGGATCGGGGGAAAGCTGCAGAAGACACTGTCTCTTTTTGTACCCACACCTGCCTCCTGTGGCAGCTCTCTAGCTGAGCTCTTGGGCTGCCCTGGGCCCCCAAGTGGAGCAGCATGGTCTCTTCCCCATGAGAGGCAGGACTCTAGTAGCTGGTCCAGAACATCTAAGAGGGTGTGGCTGGGAAGCATGGGCATCCCTGCTGGGCTCGCCTAGACATCACTGGAACCTTTGGTTTGGTCTTCAGTTAACGGAGTTTTGTTTCCAGTGAGACTGGAGAAGAAGGAATGCCCTGCGGGGCAGGGAAGGGGAAGTGGGGGGCAGTGGTTAGAGAAGTCACCATGCCTGTCCCAGAAGCCGGACGCCCTCCCTCTGCCCCCGGGCATGTGTGCCATGGCCTGGATGCAGTTGCTCCAGCAGGTGTCCTCCTAGTTGCTTCTGCTTTAGGCTGGCCGTTGCTTCAGGGGTGTCGGGGTGCATGTGGACGTGACAGCCCCACTGGCAAGAGGCTAAAAGATAGGAGTCTCAAGGCTGGCCTCCTTATCCCTGCATATCTGCCCAGGGCTTGAAGCTTCACTGCCTCTAAAGATCATTTCAGAGCCCAAGCCAGTCACCCTGAGTGATGGTTTCCCCAAAGAACATTGTCTTCTAAGAAGCACAGGGTGGTCAGGTTGTTGCCACCCGGGTCTTCATAGTTTACATGGAGGGCTCTCCTCCTCTCCCTTCACTGAGAAAGAATGGGGGAACTCGAAAGGAAAAACCACTTCAACTTTCCCAGCTTTCTCACGTGACTGCAGTCTTCCCAACAGTTGCTTGAAAACATCCTCAAAGAACAACTTCAGTCTCCTGAGAGTAAAACATAATTTTGTGAACAGACATTCTGATGCAATGTGCAAAATTATGGAACCAAGGCCATGACTTGTTTTCTGCGTATGATTCTGCAGAACCTTTGGTCATAAGCATACCCCACTGTGCCTGAGAGCCACAGGCCTGAACAGGGTACTGTCTCATGGCTGTCTCCTGCTTCTGCCGGCCATAGTGTCACTGGCTGGCCTGGGTGCAGCTGTCCTCCACAGCGGTCTGTCTGATTGTGTCTGGCAGCACTCTGCAGGGATCAGACTTATCAGAGGGCAGCAACTAGAAAGGGGCCGAGTAAGGAGTCAGTGAGCCAGGGTGATGCGAGAACCCGGACATGCCCACACAACTCGGTTCTTTTGTCCACTCTTTACTCACTTGATTTATTGTCTTTTTTTTAACACATGATTTGATTTTTTTCTTTTCGTCTCCATCCTTAAGACTTTTATTTTAAGGACAGCAAAGTAGAGAAAACATAGCCAGCCCTTGTCTAACTGCATTAACTCCGTTACAGGCCAGAGGACATGCGCATTTCTAGGCATGGAGTGTGACAATAACAATGACTTTGACATCGCAAGCGTGAAAGCACTGGACAATAAGCTGTGCTCTGAGGTCTGCTTACCCGGTGAGTGGCAGTCTGCTGAACATGAACTTGATGGGAGACATCCCTCTGCTCTTCCCCTGCTCTCCCCATGGTGCACCTACCTACAGCCTGTGCAGCAGTTGTGGCTAGGAAGGCCAGGGTGTGCTTAGGTGCTGGAGCCCAGCTGCTGAGAGGAAGCAGAGGCCCCAGGAAGCCTTGGGCTTTACACAGAGCAGCTCCTGCTCTGACAGTGTCCGGATAAGGAAACAGGCCAGAATCTCCGCCCACACCTTACTGTTTGGTCGGACACTTCCAGCACAGTCTTACAGACCCCACAGCAAGTGGATGGTCTTGTGTGTTCATCCTCAGGAAGTCTGAGCAGTCAGACACCTCCCCATGGAGGCCTTGGAAGGGAGGACGGCGCTTTTAGAATGGAAACCATAGCTCTTCAAGGGACATATGTTTGAGGATCACAAAGAAATCTAAAAGATCTTGCAGGCCAATGAATGGCTTTCTGATCCAGTGAGCTTTAGGTCTACAGTGATCACACATGTAAGCCTTGAATCCCAAATGAGAAGCCAGAGGGCAGGGATACTTGGTTCTCTGAGGCCCCAACTTCTCAGCATGCCCTTGTTTCTCCTCATGACTTCAAACTGAATCTGCAAAGCAGCCATGTTAATTATTCAAGGCCAGTCACACTAGCACACTCCTATAATCCCAGACTTGGGAAACAGAGGCAGCTGGATCACTGCAAGCTACAGACCAGGAGCTCAATTGCAAGACCTAGTCCCCCCCCCCCCCCCCCCGCCCCAAAAAAATAGTAAAATTAAGCCGGGCGGCAGTGGTGCATGCCTTTAACCCTAGCACTTGGGAGGAAGAAGGAGGTTGCTCTCTGAGTTGGAGGCCAGCCTGGTCTACAGACCAAGATCCAGCACAGCCAGAGCTACCACAGAGAAACCATCTTGAAAACCAAAAATAAAACAAACCACAATTGAGTGCTGGCCTCAGTGTGCCCATTCAGTAGCATCAAAACCCACTTGCTAAGTAAGTGTCTTGCCTGGGCCGGATGTCCCTCCTGGCTTCAGCACAGAGACTCCCTTCACACCGCCCTTTGTGATTGTCGCCCGGTGAAGACCTGCCTCAGCTTCAGAACAGCCACTCCTGGGTCCAGTGCTTTACTCGCTGAGCGAAGTAGCTGAAGGTGTTAAGCCGCAGGCCCTCCCTCCTGTGGCTGCCACGCTCCTTCAGCCTGTGCCAGGTACGGTCCCAGCAGGCCCCGGCCCACGCAAGCCTGTGGCAAGGGAAGCCAGCTGCTCAGGAGAAACTTTCTCCAGCCTTTCAGTTGTTCTCTGTTTAGTTTGTCCTGAAGATACTGCCCAGGTCCCAGCCTTCAGGGAGACCTGAGAGACAGCATCAAATCATTTGCTTCTCCCGCACAGGCCCCAGGCACACTCCCTTCCCGCCCGCGCATGGCGGAGGACATTGATCCATACGGCCACCTCCTGCCCAGTTAAGCCTGGACTGGAGCTGCTGGAGACCAGGCACGCTCACCCCTGCCTTCCCACGCCTGGCCTTGCTTCCATCTGTCCATTTGTGTTCCATGTCTTTATGCCAGATGTAGGCCTGTCTGTCCGGTTTGCTCATTTTTTAACTCATTCATGTTCTCTGACTTGTGTGAAAGTTCATGTTCACTCTGTGCCAGCACTGTCCTGCCTCTGCTCAGCCCGACAGCAAGCTTACTGGTGTGTGCACTCGAAGGGCTCTCGCTCAGGGCTCTAGACAAGCTTCCAGTTCCTAATTGGCAAGGGCCTATGTTCAGTACACTAAAGAGTTTGAGGAAAAGAATGTGTGGGAATATATGCATTTCTGTTCAATAAAGACAGGCATGCTTCTGTGGCAAGGACTATGGGATAGGCATTCTTGGTTGTTCATAGGGTGAGGATGGTACCTGTACCTAGCTTTGCCTGTGTCTGTGGTGGCTTTCTGCTGGCCAGCCTCTCCACAAGGGCTTCTACACTGAGCCCTGCTTTCGGCAGAAGGGCAGCCACTGCCACTGTTGGAGCCCACGGTGCCATGGAGACCAAGCTTGCTCTTTCTGCTTCCTCCTCTCCAAGCCTCCCTCCCAACAACTTGCTTGTCAATGCGTCTTCATTTATGGGGAGGGGTGCAGTATGGGGACAGAAGAGTCCAAAAAGGAAGCAAACAGCCATGGGTTTCTTCTGGTAATGTCAAGAACCAGCCTTTTTGAGGTGAAATGGGGTTCTCAGTTTGGCCAAACATGGAATCAGTCACCTGTCAGGAGAGACTGGGGTGTAAACATCACTTAGTGTATACAGATCCTTAGGAAGAGCCCCTGTAGCCCAAGGGCCCTTGAAGGGACGAGATGTGTCCCTTTGTGCTTCTGCCAGAACCACACTGATAGCAGAGGTGCCTGGCTACTCTGAGGTATCTCCTGGTCAGTGCCAGGAGAGTGTGCGTGTGGGTTCCCGGACTAACTACCTTTCACACTCAGCGGTTTGTGAACTCTCATCCCACCCTGAGAGCCACAGGCTGGCTTGCTCCTCACTATTCTTGAATGCTCTTTTCCCCAGAAGGGTCACTTCCCACAGACCCTGCCCTGCCTGAGTCTGTGTCCCTCTTTAAATAGGTGCCACCCCGTCATGGGACATGTGGAGAGCATAAGTCAGGGGAAGGCCAAGAAGGGTGGAGGGTGCTTCCCTGGATCATGTGTGTCACACTCCGCTAAGAAAGCTATCCTCACCAGGGTTGGGAGGGCCTTAGAGGGCGCCATACATTGCAGCTCTTCTCCCCTAAGAAGCTTCCAGGCCTTCAAAGGCCCCAAGACAGAGGGTAGTTTCTGGCCCCTCATGTTAGAGTTCAGTACATTCTGAAAGTGCTCCTGAAGGTTGAAAGGGGGCTATGATAGGAGCTGCATGACCATGCGAAGTCAATGTGGCTTCTAAGGGTGTTACATGGGTGACGGAGACTGATGGGGGGGGGTTGGACATTCTTAGAAGGCTCTGGGTAATATATGTGATGGAAAAGGAAGAGCTAACGGGTTTTTAGTGAAAATACAAACAGTTTTTACGTGACTGAGTAATACAGGAGTAGGCCTATGCAGAAAATCTAAAAATATATATACAGACCTGAAATTCAAGTTACTCCTCTCTTCAAGCCTCATGATGTAAAATTAAGATGTGGTCATGCACACCTTTCGTCCCAGCACTCAGGAGGCAGAGGCAGGCAGATTTTCTATGAGTTTGAGGTTAGCCTCGTCTATATGTCAAGTTCCAGGCCAGCAAGGGCTACAAAGTGAGATCCTGTCTTTAAAAGAGATGCTTAGGGAATGTTTGCAGTAGCAGGCTCTGAGAGGAAACAGCCCTTAAATTTAATCAGCACGTTAGTAGGGACACAGAGAGCCATGCCAAGTGTCCCTAAGTCTGCCAGCCTCTGGAGGTCTCTTCCTCCTCTCATTTCTGATTCTCCAAAAGGGAACAAATGGAAAGCACCACTGTTTCTCCCCGCCCCCGCCCCCCGCAGGGAGTTCGGGTCTCCAAGCTGTGTCCAGGCTGTCCTCTGAGTGGGCTGTAGAGAGGCAGAGGTAACAGCAGCAGGGCCTCCAGGGCAAAGGACACCTCATTCTCTCACCGTATCCCTTCACTGCACAAGGCCCTTCTGCACCCTAGCCTGCTCTACAAGGGACAGTCTGCAGCCCTAGGGTAGCAGATGTTGCATAAGGACGCCTGTGGATTTGGTCAGGACAGCCTCAGACCCAGTGTCATGGATGCTGGCAGCAGTGACCATGGTGCTGGTGATGTGGCTGCTGCTGTTTTACTTGTGTGTGCGTGTGTGTCTTTTCTCTTGTTTACCATTTGCTTTTGGTCTCTCCTACTGAACAGCCGCAGCTCCGGAGTCCTGCCCCATAAACATTGAGGAATAGGTATGACATCTACCAAATTATATAATTGAACAAACCACTCATTTTATCTGGGGTTCCTAACTGAACATCCTTTTTCTTGATACTCTCCCCTCCACTCAGAGTGCCGCCTGCCAAGGGGAAGAAGCACCTTTGACCCATGCTCCAAGGAGCAAAGAGCCCATGGGCAGTTTAGGTGTGAAAGACCCTGTTCCCCTGCTTTCCTGGGTCTCCACTGTGGACTGTTACTCTAGCCTCGGGAGAGATTCCACACCAGACATTTATGAGAATAAGCAGTTGATACCTACTTCACCTTAGCATGTATGCCATTCAAGGGCTTCGTGTCTTCAGCCTGCTGAGCCTGAGGCTGACGAGCCATTTGTAAGCTGGTCTCAGGACAACACTGTAGAGTTAGCTGACCTCACATACGGGAAAAGCCCCACCCCACCCCACTCCTATGGCCACATACCTTTCTGAGCTCCAGAGTGCAAAAGTGTATATACCATGGTGCCTGGAAAGTGTAAGGCCCTGCCTGTCACTGTATAAAGAACACACTAGCTCTTCTAGAGAGGATGAAACAGGGAGCTAACTTGCCAGCTTGGACGACAGCCAGAGGGACCCAGGGAATACATGAGGGTCCTCCAAACCAAGCTGTCAGGGGACTGGTCACAGCACATTTCTGAGTCAGGTATGCTGCTGACGTACTTACATGTGGCCTCATGCGGGCCTCACAGCAAACTTGTGAGGGCCACACTCACCTAGTTGGACACAGGAGAAAGCCAAGACCCTAAGGAAGGTGGCCTGCCAAAGATCAGACCACTGATACCTATGAATTAGGGACGAGGCCCAGGTAGGTGCCATGCAGATGTGGATGTGAGTAGGAAGAGCAAGTACAGGTGTTGGTAGGTTGCATCAGAGCATGAAGCCGAGAGGTCGCAGGGATGAGTTTTCTACTTTGAGCACAGAGGCAGCCAGGGCTTGGGAGAGAGGTATATGTGATGAACAGCATCCTGGAACCCCAGATCCTCAGATGAGGAAGAGACGAGAAGCAGAAGTATAGAGGGAGGGCTCTGAACACCACACTTTGTCCCACCCAAGGCTTCCCTTCCCTGGTCTGCTGTACTGCCAGCCCCTTCCTACCCCCTGGCCCCACAGCAGACACAGGCTGGAGGTCAGGAGAAGCGTGCTCTTTGCACATCTGCCTTCCATGGAGGAAGCAGCTTGGCTCAGCCTCGTAACATAGGCAAAGTCTAGGACCAAGTACTTAACATGCAGAATGGATGCTAGGTAAGTTCATGAGCAAGAACATCTGCAGTGTCCTTCTGTCCAAGGTCACAGGCAATGACTAGTTAGAGAGGAGCAGCCCTGGAACATGTCAGCACCTACTTCTCCCTACTCTTCCATTCGTGAGTGGCCCGCTCACACACTCAGGAGTTTCAGGTCACACACATCCTGCTAGATTCTGTATTGACTCCTGTGCTGCCCTGCTGGAGACACCATGTAGACTTGGTCTAAGGTATGGCTCCCATAACCTTTGATTTTCCTCTCCAGGTACGTGGCAGCATGATGATAACATAGTCAACCGTCACAATACCCAGTGCCGGCACTTCTCATCTAGCAGCCCGGAGGACCCTGAAGAGAACAGGCCTTGTGTATGGGATCCTTTGGCTGTCTGAGGGCACCTGCACCTGGACCTGGGCTCTCCTCCTGTCCTTGCATTCCATCTGTTCTCACTGGACCACAGGCCCTCTGGGCATCTTCAACAAGACATGTGGACTTTATACTCACATGGAGGCAGGGTGTGGAGCACAGCCCTCTGCCCACCTTATCTCCTGTAGCCATGATCCTTACCCTCTCAGAAAGAACCTGAAGCCTTCCTCCGTGTGGGCTGATCCTGCTCAGTGAACTGTCATGCAGCAGCCAAGCCCAGTGGGCCAGTTGACTGAGGGCCAGGCCTGGTTGTTTCTTTAGCCTTTTCTCATCTGAGGAGAGACCAAGAAGACTGGGGAGTTTTGGTAACTTGGTTACAGACTCCCATGGACAGATTCTGGTTTCTGGCACCTCATGACCAATTAGAAACCTAACTTGAAGTGGCCGGGGTTAGCTATGTGAGGGAGGCATCCCGCACTCTGGCCTTCCAGAGCACCAGGTGTTCCTTTCTCAAGGCTAAGGGAGATGGCTAAGTGGCAGCCAAAAGGTTGGTTGAAAGCCAGATCTGCTAACAGAGCTGGTCTCCTGTGCCTCTTGTGCCCCCAGCTAGGATCGTCACCCTTGCAAGGCCTTGTCCTCCTCAGGTGCAGTCAGGAGGGCCTGCTGAGCCACCCCTGTGTACAGTGCTAGGGCTGACCGTTCCCATTGCTCATCTTCACTACAGCCATTGAGAGGGAGTCTCAAACCCGACTGCCCTTTCTCTACCCTCTCTTAATAGTTGAGAAACGAAGCTAAGAGTGTGGACCCATGGTTCTCAAACTGGTGCACAGGCTCACCACGGGAAGTAGGGAGGCTGCGGCCAGCTGCAGGGTCACCTGGGGACCAAGGATTAGAAGACCTCCCTACCCTAGTGTGTCCCTCCCCTGCCTTTCAGATCTGACAGATGAGAGGGGCAGCCTCTCCATGGGCTCACCAGTGCTTAGAGATGCCACCCATTCAGCACTCCCACAAAGTCATGGCCGCAAGCTGGCAGGAAATTGTTGGGTGTCCCACCTTTTTCAGCTCGATGGATTTCTCGTGGCTCCTCCAGTAGATGCCTGTCTACTGGCTTTTGGAAAAGGTAGTTTTTCAGTGAAACGCGAGATGGTTTGGGATCAAGATTAGAAACAGTTACTTATGAGGGTGAGAGATATGAGGAGCTTCAGACTTTGCAAGTGAGGTCCTACAAAAGCTTTCCAGAAAACACCAGTGCCCAGGACTCTGAGGGTGGGGTGGAGAGTTTGGTCTCAAACTTGGTATGCAACCGGGGATGACCTTGAACTTCTGATTTTTCTGCCTGTACTGCACAAGCATTAGGATTACAGGCCTGCACCACTATACAGCTCTCCTCTGTACCTTTTGTGTGGTTGCAGAGGCCAGGAATGTGGAAACTGCACTCCTAGAGGGAGTCTGCTGTTGTGCCTGAGGTGTGATCGACCGAGTTTGAGACCCCATGTGCACCCTTTCTGAACACCCTGTGGACTCTGCCATTTCAAGCCCACTTGATGGTCTTTCCTCCCCCCAGCATTCTGACGGTCCCTTTCACACTTACGGTTTACACCAGTATAAGCTGAGCAATAACCACACTTCCTCGATGAAGCAAAAGCACCAGGGAGGTCTCTTAGCCTGGGGTGGTGGCACACAGACCCACCTCCTCCTCCCCTGGCACACAGACCCACCTCCTCCCCTGGCAGGCAGTAGGTAAGCAGTATTCACAGTGTGGTGTGACCTGGAAGGAGGAAGGAGCTAGCTGAGATGAAGGAGATTCAGGTAAACAGTAGCCACAGTGGTCAGGAACCCTCAAAAAAAAAAAAAGAAAAAAAAAAGAAAGAAAGCCATTCTGATCAGCCCTTCCCCCTTTCCTCACAGCGAGTGCTCAGTTGGCCTAAGCCACATAACCCAGTACCTAGGTTAGAGCACCCATTGCTGTGCCTTGCTGTCCCTGACCCCACACTCTGTACTTTTAGTTCTTGGCAAGCAGAAATAGCCCATCCACAGGGGTGGATCTCCATCAGATGCCACACACACAACAGTCTCCTTGTCAGGATTTGTCCAAGGGTAGGGCGGGGCACCTTCTCCTGGAGGGCCTCTGGCTCCTCCCCACACTACCACGGCCTCTTCCATGCTCTGGGTACTGTAGTGACCTCGGTTTCCTCTGAGAGCCTTCTTGTTTTACCTAATTTCATCCCCCTAGAGTTTCTACCCCTGCGGCATCTCCTGGACCCAAACACTAAGCCATCTCACTGGGGAGCTAGTCCTGTCTACCTGGTGTTGGCGTGCTGGTTGCTCACTTTGTTTTAGGGGCTGCACACCTGGTGTGTGCAAGTTTGTGTGTGTGTGTGTGTGTGTGTGTGTGTGTGTGTGTGTTTGTGCCGTCTGTGTACCCTTCACATTCCCTGGAGTACACTTGTTGGCACACTACAGTGGGGACATCAAGATGCAATATTTATGGATTGCTGCATGATTCCTAAAAGTGAATAAAGCTGTTTACAAGGGAAGGGGAGCTGTTAACTACAAAGTGAGTTCGTTTGTGAATGTTTCTGTCAGAGTGGTTCGGGCACTCTTCAGCATTTTTACTCGAGGATCTGGAGGTGGAGGAATGGGTGAGGCAGCTCTTGGGTTCCAGACAGATTTCTGCATGATCTGGATACAAGGCCACCCGCCCAGCTCCATTCCTAGCCGAGCCCCATCTGCCCCTGCAGTCGCCTTAAACCGGAGAACTTCCAATCCTGCAGCTCCTCAATAATTAAAGGACCGCAGAGCTGGTGGCAGCAGGGAAGGCGAGGGCCCAGAGTCCTAACACTTAACCAGTTCCTGGCTAGATCAGCAGAACAAATGACCGCTCTGAGAGGGTCTGACAGGCCGTGTCTCTCCTGTTGTTACCCACTGGCTCCGCTTCCTCGGCTGTCTGGGAGGAGAGGCACCTCGGCCGATGCCCCTGGAATGCCAGCCAGCTTCTGGGAACTTGAGCAGGGTGAGTGGGCGAGCTGCTTACCGGGAGACGCTGGGTTACCCTACCCGCCTCGGTATGTCTGCGAGCTGTGTGGCCGTTTCTGCGGGTCTAAGCGGCAGGTGGCATCAGAGAGTCACACTTGCCTGCGGGCACCAGAGAAGACACTCGGGGACCAGGGGAAGGCCTCAGAAACCAAACAAAGGCCACTGGCAGACCAGAGAGGGGAAAGACTCCAAGGGCATGGTTCCCCGAGACTTGGTCTCCAGAATCCGGGGCTCGGTTCCCGCAGCGGTCATACCCGACGCGTGGGGGAGGGGTTCCCGGGGCCTCGGGCG